GATGTACTGTTTATATTGGACCTTTCGGCCCTTTCAGTTTGACCTTTCTTCTCCAGGTATTCTTCTCGTGAATCCATCCTTATTGGGATATATCTGGGGAAGAGAAGGGGAATGTCTTTCGAATTTCAACATCACAGACTGCTCCAAGTGGGGGCGACACCTTTATGTCTACTTTAATAAACATTGTCGTTCCTACATCGACTATAAAGGAACAATATATTTACGTTATCGTACCTACCTATGCGACTTACTAACACACAGATCTATCAAAAATCGATGGGTTACCAGATGTTAGTATTTACCGCGCTGCAACTTCTACTCGTGGGATTTCGTGCATTTCCTCTCCCGTGTTTATTCCTACAGTCCTTCCCTAGAATTGGGTCTGAGGTTATTTTGATTCGGGATCTTGAAATCCCATATCCTAGGCAACGGCAGCGGAAGTCCTGATCGGCGCCAGTGATAAGCAGTTTATCAAAACGTTTCGAGAAGATCGTCAGTATATCTGAAGAGCTCTTATCATAGGCACTTACTCAGCCCCCCGGCTCTCATCCATCGAAAACGTGATTTGTTCACTTGCTGAGATTGTCGACAACCTCGATATTAAGCGCTCCACAGCCGATCAGGAACTTGCAACTTCTTGAAACATGGGTTTTGACGTGTTGGTGAGGGTCACCCAGGAAGACCACGACTCACGAGGAACCAATTTCTGATTCTAATTGTGTTTTCTTCCTCTAGTTGGGCTGTTGGTACCAGTTTGACAGCAGTCAACTATTATTGTCCTCGACAATTCATGGGATTCAAGAAGCTTCACGGAATGCTTGGTTAATTTAAGCATTTCAAACCATGTTACACTCCTACGCTATCTATTCAGGGCTCAGGCAATAGCAGGCATATTCCCAACTACCGCCTTGGCACTTGCGTGTCCCTATTTTTTCTACAACCAAAAATGTCGTGGGTCTCTGGAAACATCTTTATGGGACCTAAAATAGCAGTAACTTGTATCAAGCTAGCCTTTAAATAAAACTGACATGACAGTTTCGTCGTCTTAAGGCAGCCTCAATCGATAGTCTGATAAAAAAAATCATGCCATCAGTGATTTTATCTCATCTCCTACTTTCATCCCGCTAATCATGAACTGCTACCCTAGACACTGTCTTGTGGATCCCATCACTCAAATTACCTACAGATAGATCATAGAACTTGTTAAACAAATTACCTCGATAGCCAGTCATTGGTTGGTATGCAACAACATGTTCATTCGTAGAACCTTGAAACCAGGTATACAACTTCATTATATTTACTGGCTGGTACTCTCTCTGTACATGGGGATGCTCATCTTCGGATGCTTACTAGGTAGATCTACTGTTTCTATCCGCTACATTGACCAATCCTTCAGAACTCAGAGATATACGGCTCCACCAACAGCGACCCCCTTTAGATGAATGAGTATAGTAATAAATGATTAACTTGAAGCATCTCGAATTTTCCAACCATGAATTTTCTTTGCTCTAATTTGATTATTCCCCCATGGTTTAATTTACTATCTTGCACCAGTGCCACCAACGGACCAGGGACTATCAAACGCTTCGTCATCCTGTCCGAATTCATTCTCCATCGTCTCCACCTTTCTCCTATTCATTCAGCTATTTTCTCTCCCCATTTCCCACCTAGACCTTCGTCCGACCTGTTCCATCAATCTAGAATTCATTCTTTATTGTTCCCTCTCTTTTCATTTCCTTAACACCCTCATTTTTAATCTTCCCTTCTTGCTCTGCAGTTGCATTGCACTGAATTATATACGACACGAGCGAGTATTTGTTGATTGGGTGTCATTACGATAAGAATCACTAGCATCTACAGGAAGTGACTACCGAAAACCAGGCGATAATCGCCATCAGAGCCCGAAGACAGCCCCCAAAAATGCCTCGGATGCCTGTGCACCGTTTCCTCGCTGTTGCGACGGTAGCATTTTTCCTCATTTTATCTTACTACCACGAGAACGTTTCCCAGTCTATCGTACCTGCATTTAGGGAAACGCCAAAAGAAAATGCAGCACCACCAGAAAAGTCACAAGCAACTGCAAAACAAGTCGCTCAAACTCATGAAACACAGCAACCTCAAATTGCACCAGTGGAATTAAACATTACTGATGTTGACGACGCTGCGTTTTTACGAGATGTATTGGCGAAGAGCAATGTTGAGATGGAGATCAACTACGTGATGAGAACTATACGATATGTTACAGATGCGAAGGAAAGACCGATGTTGACGAATACCAGCCAAGAATTGTTTCCTCATGGGTGGAAGAAGATTAAGCTCTCAGATGTTGAGAGGCTACCAGCGGATACTTTAGAGCCTTTGGAAATTCACGTCATGAAAACTCCACGACCAGACGAAATTGACGCTTCCGAGTTATTGTTTGGAGTTTCAACCACCTACAAGAGATTCAGTGACGAAGTCGATGGGCCAGTCAAGGAATGGGTACGATGGCTTACAGATGGAAATGGCACATCGAACGGAGCTGGACTCGTCTTGCAGCTGCACGATACCACCGAAGAGCAATTGGCAGCCGCACAAAAATTGCTAACTGGTGTTGGAATTGATGCAACGGTCATCCACTCAGATCCTTCACTCGATATGCCGGGTAGATATGTTGATTTGGTACCAATTCTTTACAGCCATCCATCAAGATCAAGCAGAAAATACTTGTCGTTGATTGATGACGATACTTTCTTCCCCTCGCTTGGCGCATTAATGAAGGAGTTGCACAGCTATGATCCTAACGAGGAGTATTATATCGGTACTCTCACCGAGCGGGTGGATTTTATTATGCATGATCGTGTTCCCATGGTAAGAACTTAGAATCCTTCCTGTCAATTGCCAACTAACGAACGAATTGTAGGCTTACGGTGGAGCTGGTGTTTTCATTACTGCCCCTCTTGCACACACTTTGATTGGACTCCCCTGTCTCGACGTGGATCCTTCCACAGGCGAATATACCGAATCTGGGTTCCAGGGCGATCGACTCCTCTACCACTGTATCAAGAACCATACTTCAATTACTCTGAACTACCTCCCCAGACTCAATCAACTCGATCAATGGGGTGACCCATCCGGTTTCTACGAAGCTGGTCATCAACCCCTCTCTTTACATCATTACAAATCCTGGCATCATGCTACTCCCGAGATATCTCACATTGTTGCAGATGCCTGTGGTGAAGCATGCGTTTTCCAAAGATTCGGTTTCGACGGAAAGGGATCGTCAAAATGGGTTCTCACTAACGGATACTCTCTCGCCGAATACCCCACTGGTATTCATTGGGATATGTCGAAGATGGAAGGAACATTTGATCTCGGCGACTCAGATATGTGGGCTTCTGGAAAGGAAGATGTGCGGTTAGCTTTTGCTTATGGCGCTCTTCGTGAGGGATTGAGCTTTACGGGCAAGAAGCGAGCGTGGGAGGCGCTTGGAGGAAGGAAAAGAGCGGACGGTGTGGTGGATATGGTTTATGTCAAGAGGAGGGGTGACCATAGGTGGGTTGGTGAACATGAGAATGAAGAAGATAGGGAAAACGTCGTGGTTTTGAGGTTCATGCCATAGGCTTTACCTTTCCTTCTAATCTAAGAGAGGGGCTACTTGCTGTCTTCTCTATTTCGAATCTTTCTGGATATAGATTTGCTGGATTTGAGGGATGTATATATTCGTGTGTCAGCAGACAGTTACATAGGGTTCTGTTACATATGGGCGTTTTTGGATAAAAGCGATACGGATCATCTGCGCATTGAATGCCAGTAGATCCCGGCGGGCGTTTGGGATAGATTTTTTAACTAGAAGATGAGGACGGCGAAGGATGTCTGATTGGATTGGATATATGTGTATATGGCTGGAGATCTACGGTGGATATTTATGGATGAGATGAAATTTCGAATTATACAGATATATATAGATAGACTGATGAAGCGTATAACAAAAATACCCTTACGCATGATGCAATCTTTTTTGACTTTGGAGCTATGGGCATTAGTGTGCTTGGTGATTTTGTCTGTGGGTTTGCAATTTCTTATACTTTTTTCTTTGGTGGTGATTGGAATTCTTTTTTCTATCTTTTCATTGTTTGGATAGTTTTGAGGCGAGGTACTCGCTCAACAGTGATGGGGTTGCATAAACTTTTGCGTATAGTGATGATTGATTCCTATTATGGAATCCTAGTTTTTCAAGTAAATTATCTCTTTCCATAGAGTCTTTTCCCCGCGTAGCAAATTCATGAACTTTGAGAATAGGCATTGGTTTTGTTGAATATACCAATGGACTGTGTGCGGTAAGGTAAGATGGAGAGGGTGCAAGTCTCGATTGATTGCATTTGTAACAAATCCGAAGCCCCGAAAAAATTCTTGGTACACATCATGTTCCTTTGGTCCATCCGGGTCCGCGGTACTATGGAGAAGAGTCAGTTCTGAAGTTCAGTTAAGGAGAGAAGGGAGGTATTGGGGTTTTAATACATGGAGTATCTGTAGAGAATATGTGGAAAGGAAATTAGTTGAAGTCAGTAGCCAGATTTTTAGCCCAGAGGTTTTGGTGATTACACGACAGTGAATTGCACTCCATACACAAAGGTGTATATCCACTACCTACTTAAACATCGATTTCCCCGGCGATTAAGCTGATGAGCACCAGAATGAAAGATTGCTTCCAGTCAATCTGTAGACGCTTGTAAATGACGGTGGGGGCTTTCAATATGTAAAAAGCACAAAGGGCTGAAGTGTAAAAGACCCTGGCCAAAGTCATCAAAGCGAAGCAAAGGTTCTTGATTTGATATACAATAGGCTTACCCGCCCGTGTATGTGTATTGTTTGTTGAGAAGCACTGAATGAATCGCGAAAGAATTCTAAGAACAAGGATGATCATTGAAGTCAACTATCAAGGCTATTATTAACTAACTACCTACTTTCGCTTAATTGTCATAACTCGCGCTACTTCGTGAATCGAACCCCCAAACAAACTAGCTATCGAGCGGCTCATCATTCACAAACGCTCTAATCGCTCTGAACGATCTACGAAGTGTATCTAGCAACTTTTCCTTCTTCTCCAACTCCAACACCAGTGCGTGATTTTCTTCTTGCAGTTCCTGAATTCTGGCGATTCCAGCAGTGAGTTTTCGTTGTAGACTCTTGCCATTTTCGACCGCGGAGCTTAAGTTATGATTTGCTTCGTCCAGATCTCTTTCAAGATCTTGCCTCGCAGCAGTCAGAGCATCGGTTTCGGTCTTTTGTTTGCTGCTTTCTAATAGAAGCCGCTCTTTATCGTCTATCACTTCTTGTGTTTTTTCTTTCAACTTCCGAATTTCAGCTGCTTGATCTTTGACCTTGGCTTCTAAGGAAGAGATCTTCTCTTTGGAAGTTTCCACCTTTTTTTTCAACGATTCAACAATCTCGTCGGTTTCTTCGTTAGCGACACGACGTCTCCGCATTGCTTCGTCAATATCGTCTATCGTTTCCTCCTTTTCTGTATCGCGTCCCTGAGATACTTTTTCGTCTTAGCGTAATAACATAGTGAAATCCGTAATACGTACGATTGGGACACTTTCTACTCCGAGCCGGTGAGCCATAGTCTAGCTCTAAAACATCCGGTTGATGTAGTAAGTATTGACGATCGAGATTGTTACTGGATTTCCGTTTGAGATGACGACGTCTCTCCGAGTTTGCAGAAGACATACTTCGTAGTCGTGAAATCGAAGGTTAGAGATATCTAGAGGCCTGAAGTTGTAAATTAAGGCTGGTATTGGGGTATGTCTTCCACTCAATTAAAAATGCAAAAGATAATAATTTGATTTCCTGTTTCTTGCATGTTAGGAAGAGAGAACTCGAAATAAAAAATATCCATCTGTATCAGTTAGTGGCAAGCCGCAGCAATTTGGAAGTGGAAAGAGCGATGTCCACTAGTGGGTGCATGAATTGACGGGACACTTCTCAACTTTCAAAATCTTTGACAAATTCATTCTTTGATTGTTTGATGTTAGAATTCACATTTGCATTGTTCCATCTCTAATGAATGATTGTAACGATTCATAAGATATGCGAATTGATATATCAAGAGATATTCACAAGTCAATTTTTGGTAGTGTCTCGTCAGTCTATGCACCCAATGGGAAGAGCAAGCACGTAAGCCCTGGGCAACATAGCCATGGAAGTAGTCGCGCATCACTAAAGACCATTATCAAAGGAACAACTTCATTTTCAACAGACCAAAAACCCATCATTGTCATGCATTAGCAGTTTGAACAGCCATGCATCATATCATCTCATAATTCGGAATTCCCCCGCTCAACAGCCTCAGCATCGGCATTGTCTAATCTTCAAGCTCCTTCAGCCTTTTAAGTTGCATCTGCGTCGTTGATTGTAGCTCCAAATTCCTTTGAACAAGCTTTGCATTCTTATCTTTCTGCCGACTCAATCTATCAAACTCTCCTCTCAATCTCGCAATCTCATCATCACGTACTCTGATATCTTTTTTGAGATACATTGTTTCCCAGTAAACGCTGCTGCCAATTCTTTCGATTCCGTCTCGGCAACCCGCAGCTTGGCGCGGAGCTCTGCTGTCGAATCCCGGTAAGCGACAGCATTTTGCTTGACAGATGCCAGAAATCTTTCGCATTCGATTATCGTACCAAATAGTGTGATGAGTGGTGTAGTTTCGTCTGGATGAACTAATTAGCTTTGTCCCGGGGATGATGAAGTGAAGTACTGCTTTCTAGAACATACCGTCTTCCGAAATGTCTGACAATTTGTCGTGTTTCTTTGTCAAGTCTATAAAGTGGTCCGTGATGGACTCGATTTCATTGTTGAGAGAAGACGAAGGTAGATTTGGCTGCGTGGGAATATCGTTCTTGGCCGATTTAAAGATCCCTGGGCTGGTCGGGATTGAAGCTGGGTTGCATATAGTTGAATGATACGCTTGGATCTCTTTGCAAGCTTCACTGTTATTGATAGCAAACAGAATTGTTGGGGCGTAGATGTTATCACCTATCAGAACAAGCATTGCTGTTGGCTTGATCCATTCCGCGTAACATACAAGCGCCTGCTTCTCATCTGACTTGGTGCTTTCGTCCACCTCTTCTTCTTGAGTATCACGACTGGAGACTGTGTATAACATAGCTGTTATCGAACTCCTGGCACGCAAAAAGACGGGAACCCATCGATATTAAATGGAAATATGTTGAATCTCATCTCAAGCTGTTAGCAATCCTCCGTGGTTCTAACATCTCGTGTAGAATTCTTCGCCGAATTTAAAACCGAAGTCCTCAATCTCTTCGAAAGAGAAACTGGTAAACCTGAGGACCAATCGTGAGTGCACACAGATGCCAGGAATCACTTATCCTAAATAACTATATTGAAAATTCTTCAAGGCAATAAAAGAGCAAGAACCGACGCCCCAGTGCAAGAAGATGTTAAAGACGATGTTGACAACGCAATGGCATTCAGAAGAGAGGCTTTGGCCAAATCTTTAAAGACTAAGAGACTCGAAGCACGACTTGAACAGATGAGCTCGGAGTCCAGTGCAGCCATGTCAAGATTCCAGCAACTATGCGATGATAATGCAGTTCTGGAGAAAGAAAACGAAGATCAAGCCGAGACAATTGAGAACTATCGACTCCATTTATCAAACATCAGAAAAGACATGGAGAAGTCGATCTCTAGGGCGGAAGAGAAACGTAAAAAAAATATTCTCGTTTTCGAATGCCGAGAAGGACTTATTGGTAGCGTGGTATGAGGATAAAGTACGATCTCTCTCAGTGGATAAGGCTTCATCTATAACAAGAGCTAGAAAACTTCACCAGCGACTAGCAGAAGGATGGGACAACAGGGCAGAAATAAGGGACCTCGCAGAAGTTAATGTGAAGAAACTTGTTGGGAAATAGGACTTTTGCTCCCATACCGTCTTTACTCCTCGTCGGCTTGTTTTTCTATTTTATGAACACTAATTTACTATTTTTGTCTATTAGCTGAATTGTTTTGATGCCAAAATAAGCTTTGGATTTGATACTTATGTGACCTACATACATTCATCCCATGTTTGCCCAAAGTGTGTATGACAAATATTCAAAAGAAATTAGAAATGCTTGTGATCAACTTGAAATTTTTCTTTCGCAGAATTTTTCCAATCTTTCCCAATATCAAAAGAAACTCCATTTGCTCCTAGAAACTATGGAAGTGCCTACAAATACGGGGTGAGACGTTCATTATCTTTTGTGATACCAACCCCTCGCTGTGATCGCTCATGATCCGCCTATTCTTTTATTTCCCAATTCGTCTTATTATTTTCTTCCACACCAAATATTCACAGATCATCATGGGGAAGAAGAAGCTTTCCAAAAGGGCTATCTCGGATCTAGTGAGTGACTGCCAGTAAGAGAATGGAATTTTTTCCTCCAGAGAAGATACAACTGAGGTATATTGCTGAGAAAATTTCGATAGACTTGCGCATGCTAATTGATATCTAGGATTTCACAATCATTACCGATGCAGAAATCAAAGATGCCGTCTGAAATTTTACTCTCCAGTCTACCGGTGAGTATTCATGAGCCTGGCCCACTCAATTGAATCGGAGTTCTGACTGACGGACCATGAAGATGGGAATCCAGTATTAGGAGTAAATAGCTCATGTCATCAAGCTTGTCAAACTATACCACTTCAAAATATCACCTATGAGAACAACAATGCAGCTGGTTCACAAGAGAAGAACCCTGCAGCGATTGCACCTGGCACTACTTGTAAAGAGCAGCCGACTAATAGTTCGAATTCTAGTCGTGAGTATCTTCTCCGTACTTTCTCCAATAATTGCTTTCAAACTATGCATCCATTGATCACATTAACATTCACAGAAACCGAGGACAAAGAGACCCTCAAATATCCCAAATCCTGGGAGAATTGGAAATAAGAACTCCTCGACGCCCTCACTGTTCGAGATCCAATCCCAGATGGAGAATTCCATCAAAGATATCCATCATATGGTCATGAAGATAATTGACGAGGGGGCATTTGCTCTTAATACTGATAGCGAGTCCACTGCGGGACCTACCTACTATTGAACAAATTGAGAAACATTTTAATCTGGATCAGACGAGAGTTCTGTATTAAGATTACAAGGAGGAAAGTGAGAAGAGTACTAATAAGATTCGCAAGAGAAATGAAGAAATGATCTAGAAGACTCGGTGAATAGAGGACTGAGAGAATTAAGGAGACGATGAATTTTGAGAAGATGGGACGAATGCTAGCGTTGGTTGATACTACCGGAAGAGGCTCCGGTGACGATGTTCAAAAAAATCTGAGTACAGGAAAGATTTTAGCTATTATTTCATTCAATATCATTCAGTGGAATGTCCATTCCTGTTTCGTGAAATTCAATAAAACTTCTTTTGTTGTTTAATGCGTGTGCTGTGAACATGTGATTTGATACAGCCTTGAGAGTTATGAGGCTTGGGCTTCTGGGGTAATAGTTACACGCAGCTGAAAATGTAATCCAAATAACTTTCCCATTATTCCTCTAATGATATCTTATGCGCTGAAAAGGTGCGTCGATCATGGCCAATTAATTCAAAACAATCTAGCAACAAGTGCTTTAGCATCCCATCTCTGATATATGCATGACTCAATGTTTGGCTGCGCTGATATCATTCAATCCATCAATTCTCTCCATGTATGCTGCTCTGGTTTGATCTACTTTTTTTGGAGCTGCGGTCTGACTGGCACTTTGCGTCATCTGTTCTTGCATAACAATTCTTGCCCTTTTAGCTTTTCTTTGCTGACCGGGTCTAATACCAGGTTCAAATTTCCGGAATTTGAGTTCTGGATGGTCCTGAATTTCACCCTTCTCGAGTTCAGAGTCTAGGCTGTATTTTGGTGAGCGCTGAGGTCCTGTTGAAGTAATCTGGAAATGCTGTGGCAAATCTCTCCTTCTCGGTTCCGAGGAACTGTCCGCATATTCTACGGATCTTTCTGTAGCAGTTTTAGAGTGGCAGCTCACGAGAGCGGTCTTGAATTCTTCGCAAGCTTCATCCGATGGCTCAAGAATACTGCGGTTTCTTTTGAATCCACTTGTCTTGTTGTTCGTTTGCTGTAATTTTGCAAGGAAGCTCTGCAAATTAGACTGCAGATTAAATTGCAAAAAGTTGGTTTGAAGAGCACCCAAGTAGACTTCTTGTGCCTTGCTCAATTTAATCCGGGGTGCCTGGTGATTTCCCTTGAGTACTTTCATTGTTGCATTTTCTGCATCTTCAATTTGTGCCAGAAAATCGTGCTGGACATGGGCGAGAACTTTTTCAATGTCCTCATCTTGTCTTTTTTGGAGAGTTCGGCAACGTTTCATAAGCCATTTTATCATCTTACTGTCTATTAAATTGGCTCTGAGTTCTTCCCTTACTAAGTCAGGGGATTGGGATCGGTCGTCGCGCAATTTGAATGTCTTTTCAATCTTCTTGCCATCGTTGGATTTCACAATAACACTATTGCGAGCGGTTGTCAAAGGCTTCTCTGTCGGTTTCCTTGGATTTTGTTCTACGTCAGGATGAATAATACATGGAATGCATCGTCGGCAAATCAAGCTACTAGGGTTGGGGGTCGGACTCGTCGCGCTGAGTGATGTCAAACAACTCATGTGATTTGCACCCGAACATTCTACACAGAACACTAGTGCCTCGGATATTCTGCTCACGGCATCGTTTTTGTACAGCCTATGACATACTTGGCAGCATCCCTTAGAAGGTGTCCCTGAAGTTGTCAGCATATATAATTTTTGCATACTTCGTCATGGAAACATACTGAATGCCCTCAAGCAAGAGCATTTAGTCTCAAAGATATACTTCTGAATAATCCTAAAAGATTCGCGAACAGACTGACGGAATTCCAGCGAAGAAGTTTTTGTGAGCACCCGAATTGCAATGAAGGTTCTGGGAATTTCGCACTGTCGACAAGCGATGTAGATACAGCAAGCAACAAGAACTGCTTGCAGTTCATTCATTGTTTCATCCAAATGAAGACAACTGAAGTCTGTAGTAGCCTGGGAGAGCATCTTCCAAAGATATTTTGCTCTGTTAACAACATTTTCTGGGAGGTTCCCAGCCTGACAATCTTTCTCAATCTTTTCACAGCCCTTGATATCGCTGAATCGATATGTATTCTGGGTATTATCAAGTTCCGTGTTCTAAAGAGAATGAGAGACTGTACCTACCATTGGGCGGGTTGTAACATACAATACTTTCTACGTTGCTAAAATCAGGCCTCATATTTGGGGGGTAGGAGGCGGGAGCATAGTGTGATCATCTTGCGCATCGAAAGGCTTCGATTCATCCAAAGGGATTTCGTTGGTTTCCACCTTTGGACCATCATAATTTCTCGGAGTAGGTGCGTGCCATTGATCAAGGTAATCAGGACGAATAGGAGATAAAGATTTCCCTCTATTTTCGTCGTGGTGGACATCCGAAGACTTTGATTCCTTGGGCAGATTTTCTGCACGGCCCATGTATTTGTCTGTATGAGTCCCTGGAGTTGGCACAGTACTATACCAAATGTCCTGAGCATCAGCGCCGTACGATGCGTTAAATGTATCCTCGATGTTCTCCAGTTCACAGCCAGCATGGCTGAATTCATCAAACGAACTTTCCATGCATTGAGTGTAATCGAACTGCGGGGGTGTGAGCGCATGGAGAGTCCGTTGACTGGAATCTTCAGGACTAGATGATGTTTTGGTCATGGGCACATCTATCATACGAACAGCCATTGTTCTCCTGTGCTGGAAATGAGAAGGACTTGGTTCTTTTACCGGGAACTCTGCGCCACAAATACCTTTGTTTTGAGCCAAATTAGACCTGAAATATCTTCTTGAAGCTCCTTTGCAAACCCTGGAATAGGTGTATTTGATCTTTTTTGATTTCATCTAGAGTGCGGTTCTGCGCCCAAAATTCTAATCTAAAAATAATAATGACAATGATTGAAGAAAGATGTTGTTGAGCTAAGACAGATATCTGCAATGTGTACGTGGATTCAATCGATTCCAAGTCACAATTCGTCGTAGATAGTGTATGATTGAAAGTGCCTGCCTTGAATGAATCATTGTTACCATGGACAATCACGCTACGCCCCTTCCTCATGAACCTCACAAAAAACCCACCGTAAGGAGGGCACTAGGACAGGTTGGTACTTGTCCGAAAGAGGAATTCAACAGTGTCTTGCTTGAAAAGCTGTATTTAAGGTATGACTTTGCATAGTATGGCTGTTAACTAATCTTTGATTAAAATCATATAATGAATTCATACCCATCAACTCACCTATTCCTATATCAATGTCCGGTTCAAAAACATATGATCTGACTTTCAACTATATCATCTGGCATTTCAAATGAATTAGTCTCAAGACTGCCAGACAATAAAACAATCATCCGGCCCATAGAATACATACATATGTTGTTATCGTCCATTCAGATTACATCTAGCCACTTCGAACCGGACTTCTAAACTCGATTTGGGGCCATTGGAGATGATATCTCTCATAGCTCGTAGTGCCTTTATTACAGTCAAGATAACAATTGAAAGAAACATAATGCATACTATTAGAGGCCTAGTAGTGCAGACTGCAGAGTTTCTAATTGATGAACCTAAGAAGCACATAGCATATGATAAAAAGTTGACTGAGAGTCTGCAAGAAACGAGAGAGGCTATTCATGACCCCACAAGTTCAATTTGGGGCAAATTATTTCCATGCATAAAAAAACACGAGAGAAGGAAAAAAAAGAAGAAAAGCGATAGGGCCTCAAGTGTCCACTTCAGCTGAACATTTTCAGAATATCGAAAGTGCCAGTATCGGGTCCACTTTGTGCTATCGTCAACAACTGTAAGGAATTATTCTACCAAAGTGATAAATGACCATTCAATCCATTCAAGCAATCCATACCATTCCCTGACCCGTTTTGGTATATGTATATGGATGAACCTATCCATTTCCCCTCAAACAATCAAACGAAACCAGAATCTTGGTATTGTTGTGCCCCTACCGCTTGCCCATGCCCGCTTGCCCCAATGCCACGATTCCAACAATCCCGCAACCCCACAACGCCCACATGCAAAACTAAACAATCTTTGGACCCCGTGAAAATAACAAAGGAGACTAAATACAGAGGTTTGGTCTCGATGACCCGATGTATGACGCGTGAATGGTATTTGCGCTTGATTCGAACATAAAAGAAAACGTGTATTAAAAGATTGTACGGTTTATTGGTCCGCTTTTGGTGGTGACCAACCGTTGAGATATGCCATCAACCCCATACCAACCATGACAACGCCAAGCATCGAGACATAAGGTGTCGAGTGGTATAATAAAGGATCGTGTTTGACATTCTTTGAAGCGATCGCACGTGTGAGCGATGCATGAAGATCATCATTTTCTGATAAGGTATGTTTCATACCATTTGGTCGTCTTATGGGATGCAGTGCCAGATCACCTCCATTCACAGTCCCGTTGATATGTTTTTCAAAAGCCTGCTTCGATGGAGATCGGGATCGGTCGGAAGATAGTTCTCTCAGTTGCTCATCCGAGCGAATTTTTTCAATCATCTCTGCTAAGGTTTTTCGGTCGGTATCCCTCTCCCCCTCGGCGCTTTCTGCTCTTTTCTTATATGACTCCATTTGGGATCGCAACTCCTGCATATCAGAAACCATAATTTCAAGGCGCTGTTCCAACAGACGAGATGAGTCGGCAATACCAGTAGCGTCAACTTGTATATTGGCTTTCTCTTGTGATGAAATATCATCTGAGGGTGGCTCAAAAGCATCTTCGAGTATTAAACCTTCCATCCCAGATCTGGCACTTCCGTTCAAGGTTTTGTCCGGTGTTTGGAGCTCCAATCGTTTAGCCATTTCCTCCGCCGTTTCTCGTGCTTGTCGTTCCTTTTGAAGCATTTCCTCCAAGTCCCGCATTCGAGCACTTTGAGAATCGATCTCTTTCTTTGCCGATGCCAATGCCTCCACCAACGTAATTATTTGACTACTGACTTCTCTTACAGGAGAACCATTCGCTAAAGACCTCTGCTTTTCGGTATTGGATCTTCTTAAAGAGGCAGTAGGTGATGAGGGATCAAAGTTATGAGAACGGGCAACATCTGGCTTTTCAGGAAGAGGTTGTTGGGGCGGCGGCGCCGGAGGATCAGAAAATCGAGGTTTTCCTTCAGCCCTAAAAGATAAAGCGGAACCGTTTGCTGCAGGCTTTAGTTCTACATTTGGAGCACTCTCGAGTTCTTTCACATTATCCTTCGATAACAGGCCACCAAAGAAGTTGTCTGCACGCCCAAGGTCGGAGTTTTGCAATCGGGCTGTTCGCATCTCGTGCTATATTGTATGTCAGTCAAAGTGGAGTAATGTATGTAGATATATGAACCTACAGAAAGCCTCTTCACTATCTGCTCTGTTGTAACGGGCGTTAACCAGAAATTCATCGGGCGTTGCTGACCCATCACGCTCATTTGACTCCCAGCTACGCTACCCGGTAATCCCACACGACCATTACTGCCTATTGAGCTTTGGCTTCCAGTTCTTCCCCTCATCATGGGGCCTTGAGACGGTAACATCATTGATCCATTAGCAGGATTCAAATCACCGAAACTCATATCCAGAACATTATTAGTTGAGCCCGCAAAACCTGCATGTTCGACTTTCGCAGCGACTTTGTGATGTACAACAGTCTTTTGATCTTCGCTAACAATATCTATACCAAGCTCGAGATGGTCTTGCGACTGCAACTCATGCGGATCTGAGTCCTTGTTTTCGGCCGATAAGCGCGCTCCGTTGACGAAAGTACCGTTTGATGATTTGACATCTCGAATCCAGATCTTCCCACTACGATCTGCCCAAATCTCTGCATGTTGTCTCGAAAGTACCTTCGAATCAAAAAATCCATTCGCAGGCGATGGTACTGTTTTAGCATTTGTCTGACGCCCGATTCTCAAGCTATCCGGATAGAAGGGTACCGATATCCTCTTGTGATCAAAGGTGCCGTTCATGGATAACAAGTAAAGCATTGGCTCCCCTTCAGTAGGTTGGCCCTGGGGTCTGATCTGCTGTGATCCATTTGGTGTAACATGTTGGGATGGTACCATGGGAGCCGGCTGATGCAATGGAGTCATAGATGAACCAGAATTTCCATTTGTCAAGGCCGATGGAGGTTGTCGTGTCGTGTGTGAACCAGGTGCCGAGTCTGATTTATTGGTCCATGGCGGTTGCACTCTTGGGACCTTCTTTCGTGCCGCTGCCGTTCCCCAATTATTTGATTCATTAGACGAGGTCATCGGTACGCCATTAGTCTGCGGGGTCTGTTGCGATACCGTCGAGTTGGATGAAGTGGAAGAAATTGAAGATAATGAAGTTATTGACGAGGATGAGTTGGCACGCTGAGCACTTTTTCGTGGCATAAACATTCTGCCCACTTCGTCGCCGTTAATAGCATTCATTCCTCCTTGGTTAACACTAGATCCCCATGCCGACCTGTTGATCTGCTGGAAACTTGGTGGATTTGCGACTGCCGTCATCGGTTAAACTGATTGTTGGCCGTAATTCACAGTAGATAGGTTTATCCCTGACGATGTTGGTTGAATAAGATCGTTGGAATGTTGTTGCTTTCCTCCCCCATTCAACCTCAACTACAACAAAGATGCTTCGCTTCGATGACCCTCTGGTCTATATTGTGGATACTGAATGTCTGCAACTCTCTATCTAACAAACTGGATGGAAGAGATATCGTATCGCACTGGTAGTTATGATGACCGTTAGTAGATGCCCACAAAGTTTTGGCGCCATGATGACGAGTGACGAGATAGTTGATCGACGAAAGGGAGCGCAAAGAAAACTGGAATGCATCGAGAATCATACAAAGCGGACTCTAGGCTTGAGGCAAAGAATAAGAACACTTACATCTATGCAATGCAGGTATTGTAGGACAATTGCTGGTGGTAGAAAAGGAAACCTATTTCAATTTGATGTTGCCAAGGTGGAAAGTTTGGACATTCAGGTTGAGACACGCGAGGTCTATGTTTAGCCAACCAGAGTTCGAGATCGGGGATAAGAGCACTTGCGCACGCGCTCTCTTGCAGATACAAAAGGGTCTTTGATGGGTGAAGAGAGCGGAGTGAAGAGAAGAATCGAAAGGACAAGAGGAAGAAATTGAATATCATGAAAAAATTAATTATTTTATCTCAAAGCTATCGCAATAGACTCTTTTGTCTACGAATTAGGTGTTTTTAGTGCGAACCACTACAACAATTCCAAATTTCCAGAATTCTAAGTGAGAATCATTGGATTATGAGAATTATCACGTGACATACCTGATCCTTTTTTGCCCCTGTGCCTTAGATATCAAGGCCACAATGTGTTTAGAATGTGGGGGAATATGATGCTTGTGTATGTATGGTCTATGCTTTCGGCAAATGCCGTGACCATTTTACATTTTAGTAGGCAGATTTGAACATTTGAAACTTTGAAAGCTCGAAGCTGCGATATATGAGTTGATGAACCTTCCGACTTCGCGGTGCTAGATAAATCAATTTCATCCTTCGAAATCGCCAAATATGCCTCCAGTACCACAACCTCAAGGCCATCCCGGTGGCCAAACTATCTGGAATAAGCGTAAGACTGTGGTTTTACCCCTCTACCCAGGACTTTCACTGACCATGCATGTTTTACAGTCCAGATGGGAGCTATGATGGGTGGCAGTATGCGATCATGATCTCGTTCATATATGCAAGTTACTGACTGCGTTCAATAACAGCTGTCGGCGCCATTCTGGGGTTTATGTACGGTATGTTGAAGCTGGAGGAGGCATAAAAAGAATCCATTCTGACACGGCTAAGGCACACTTACTATCATTAAATTTGGTCCTGGCCCAAATGGAGTTTGGAGAACTCTACGCACATACATGCTCACTTCCGGGTCCACTTTCGGGTATTTATCATCATTCTTTTCTGTCAAATTAGTTTCATTGTGCTAATGAGTTATCACTCAGTTTTTTCATGGCCATTGGCAGTACCATCCGTTCCGATAGTATCGCATCTCCAGAAACATTGGCAGCATTCGGCCGTGCAAACCGACGTCCTCTGGTTATGAATCGTCCATATCGTCCTTCGCGAGCATCATGATGAAAAATGCTCCCCTGTAGAGTCGGAAGGGGAAGCCCATCTATCTTTGGAGAAGATGGAACTTGGCGAATGCTTTGTAATTCAAGGCAAATGTTTATACATAATGGGTAGAGACATTTCAATTGCCGATCTTCGGGTCTCGCCGCTCAACTGTTTGCATAGGGGTGGAGTTTAATGGGGGCAATCTGTATCAACAAAGCCTCGCTCAGCGTTTTTCTTTTACTCGAGCCTCCTGATGAGCACAATTCAACAATAAACGAATCTTACTACTTTATCACTGGTTCATCGGTGTTATAAAAGCTCGAATCCTGTGTTGTGGCCAAGAGGCTTGGATATCTTGCTAGCCACTAACGTGAGATGGCCATGGAGCGTTCGTGTTTTATGTTGCGACTTGATCATTTGAAGGGGCAAGGTATGCAAGCGCTGCTCTTGACCTCTTATCTTGGCCTTCCTTAGGAGATCTTCAACGATTAAGTGAGGGCTCTAGATCTGAATTATGTTCACAGTATCATTTACTCTTAATCAAGACACTCATTCTTCACGGATTCGCAATGGCATTCTTGGAGCCGTATCGGACAGACGCAATAGCTTAGTGAAATTTTTCAATCCCTGTTCTCGGCATGACGTATATACGCATCCAAGATCGCGCTTTCGGCTGTACTGATGAATTGTATCCATTTCGACGTGAACGGAAATCGAAGTCTTCTTATTAGGTCGAGGTACCACAAACCATCAAAGAACCATGGCTATGGCAAAAGACGAGTTCAATCTTAGACGTCAATCCCGATTCCTAAAATTTAGAAACCCAACGATACCTTTGATGATGGGCCCCTGGCCATTATAAGGCGTATCGAAAGACCCTCTCAGAATGAAATTGTATTCATCGGTACAGCGAAGAATATAGGGTTTGTAGAGTCTTGATCAGACGAATTGTACTTGTATATCCACACGAACCACTTAATTCAAGTGCCTCGCTTTGCGGCTGACATCGTCTTAGCTCTGTAGATGGGTAGGCACTCGCCACTGGGTGAGGTACTCGGCCCTTCAGTTCTCATGGTGAAACCTCACTTTGACTAATGGCCTTGAGCAATGACACGGTATCATCCAAACAATCGAGTTGGCTTCAGTTGAGATTCATCAAGAAAATGTTTGAATCAATCTCATTTATGCTTGTTGAACCAACAAGAATTATAAAGTGAACATGACCTAGGTATATTCGACTCATTTGGCCACATCAACATCGCTTCGGGAAGTAACATGTCCGTACAACTTGATTATCATTGTCAAAAAATATCAGAACTCAATTGTGTCCATCGAAAGATCAGCAGTGACGCTCTGTCGGGAAGTGATCATTCTTGCGGAGTACTTGAGGATATTTTCCGATTTAAGATTGTTCCTTGGGCAAGATATCCACCTAGCGTGAAGTAAGTATTTTTCTTCGCTTGGCACGTCTGGGATAATTAAGAGAGGAAACTATTATCCATATACATGTTTGCACCCTCTAGTTCTGGAACTAATTGAACCGTAAAAAGACTATCTATGATGGTAAGACACTGGCAGCGACGAATGACAACATGATGATTCTTCAAACTTCATCAATTGTGTATTACTATCGAAGGCGGAAATTTTCACAGCTCCTTTTTTTGCGTGAGCTAACGATTTGGAAGTGCATGCGAAAACCACGACGTTGTGTACTAATAATCAACGACCACGTTTCTTGTAGCCAATTGATGTCCAATACTGGTTTCAATGAACTGTATTATGTACTACTATGATGGTCTTATTTCTTGACACTTCTACCATTAATCGTGGTTTCGTCGTGTCGATACTGACTTCAAATCATCAATAGGCTCAATTACCACCCAAATCTTCAGCTAATCAAATACAAATTTGACCTCTGCACAGGTCCTCACATCATCACGGCTAGCAACATATTACTGTATACAGATAAATCATGAAACACATCATTGTTAGTAATATCTTCTTCACTACTCGACTGCAATATAATTTCTGTTTACACGATATATCGCATAGAATCGAGGCCCATAGATGTGGGTTGATACCTTGGTACCTGATACAAATAGCATTATTCAACTACTCAATGTAAGTCTTGATCTTTACTTAGGTACCCACTACCGAATCTGGACATGACTTTGTTTCGAAACATCATGAAGATCTACACTATTCTCCTTTTGAACAATGATCAACTGTTTATCGGAATATTGTTTAAGATACATACGGGAATGGTCACTGTACACAAACGAGATTTCTTACATTGGGATACGGGGTGGATCGCTCTAAATGATCCCTCCGATCCTTCAAATCAAACAAGAAGTCAAAGAGAGGGATCTTTTGTTTTTTTGGGGGTTCTGCGATTTGTTTTTTTTTTTGGTTTTTTCCCTCTCTCTTGTTTCCGGATTCAAGAGATTTTGTTTCAAATTAGAAAGTTCTAATATACAGAGTACGGCGGAAAGTCGATTAATTTCGCTTCCTCAAGGTTAGTCTTTCTGCCGTCTTGTATTATCCCTTCATCGCATCTCGTTAGTGTCACTCGGTACCGTCCATGCGTTTTTCGTTTGTGGAGCGGAGTGGATCTCCGGGTAACCTTATCTGCAAAGCACCATTCACAACCTTTATTGACCATGTACCTAGATACTATGTAGGAACTATGTAGGTACAATGTAGGTAAGATGTCGGTACTCGATAATACTAACGTAAATTTCATACTTTATACCAGAGTTTGGAGGCAAATTGCGGCAGCACAAAATATGCTTCTCATATTTCCAACTCTATTAGGAAGGTAGGCTAATTTCTGATGAACCTCTTCCCGTACTTTGTTATTGTAGCATATCTAGGATCCACGCTAGATGTGTCCAAAGTTAGAACGAATCATACCCCAGGCTTACATCAGTCTCTTCTGATGACAAAGTACAGGATTATTCAATCACTCTACGCTAGACGTCAAGCCCCAAATAAAATGTAGGGAGTGTCTGATCTTTTTTAAGTTACACGGCGAGTTCAGTCTGTGCAATACTATACTAGAGCAAATCTTCGTCGACTTAGCGCCCCGGGAAATAATGGGCGCTTCGGAGGCTTTTTTTCATATCTATATAGTATCACCACTTGCCCACATCTATAATCGATATCTACATACCATTTCATAGTCTTTCGTTTAATCTTGTTGCGACAGTCATATCAAAATGGCTTGGTTCGGTCTCTTCGCTGGCATCTTTACTGCTGGTGCCGGAATTATTAACACTTTATCTCAAACCGCAACTAATGGGTGAGTCTCAGTCCTTGAGTCGAGGAAATTCTATGCTGTAGTGGTTTAATTATTGACTCTTCGTCTAGAAATTCCGTTTGGGGAACTCTACAAGCTCCAACTTTTCCTCCCTTCCTCACAGATAACCCTCTTCCTAATGGATATCCCTGGGGTTCATTGACTGCAAGTGGGAACAATCCATACACATCAGCTCCTCACACCGGAGTTATTCGATCCTACAATTTTACTGTCACGAGAGGCACAATTGCCCCGGATGGCTATTCCAAAGACGTCATACTTGTCAATGGGCAATTCCCTGGACCTGCGATTGAGGCAAACTGGGGTGATACTTTCGTGATTACAGTACACAATCAAATTACTGGACCCGAGGAGGGAACAGCTTTCCATTGGCATGGATTATTACAAAAGGGAACTCAATATATGGATGGTGTCCCTGCTGTAACACAATGCCCCATCGCCCCTGGAGCTTCTTTCACGTATACTTTCAAAGCCGATCTTTATGGAAGTTCCTGGTATCATTCGCATTACTCTGCTCAATATGCTGGTAAGAACAACAGTCTTTACACTCCTTTCTTATACTAACGTCCATGCAGGTGGCCTTGTGGGACCTATGATTATCCATGGCCCTAATAACGCACCGTATGACATTGATCTTGGACCAGTTTTCTTAACCGATTATTATCACAAGGATTACTTCTCGATAGTCAAATCGGTTGTCGAGAGCAATGGGGATTCTAAACCACTTTCAGACAACAATCTCATCAATGGAAAAATGAATTTCGACTGTTCTACCAAAGCTGCAGGAGATAATACCGCATGCTCTGATAACGCTGGTATCTCTCGTTTCAAGTTTACCACTGGAAAAACACACAGATTGAGATTAATCAATGCCGGTGCTGAGGGAATGCAAAGATTCAGTATCGACGGACATAAGATGGTTGTTATTGCCAATGATTTCGTACCAGTTGTAAGTACCACAACCTTTTATGATCACTGGAAAATATACTGATTGATGCAGAAACCATATACCACCAATGTTGTCACCTTGGCAGTTGGTCAAAGAACCGATGTTCTTGTCACCGCTAATGTCGGAACATCTGACTCGTCATTCTGGATGAGATCAAACATATCCACAACGTGTTCTTTGTCCAATCAGCCAAACGCTCTTGCAGCAATCTATTACGACGGCGCCGACACAAACTCGACTCCAGCAAGTACAGCGTGGGATGTTCCAGATCCAGGAACTTGCACAAACGATGAGCTAGACACCACCGAACCCTATTATTCTCTCGCAGCAGAAACACCCTCCACAACCCAAAACCTCGATATTAACTTTTACGTCAACGACACCGGAAGTTTCCTCTGGACCCTCGGCGGAACATCTTTCCGTGCCAATTACAACAATCCTATCCTCTCCCTCGCCAATCAAGGCAATATGACCTACCCCGATGAATGGAACGTACGAAACTTCGGAAGCAACACGACCATTCGTGTCATAGTAAACAATCCTACCCCCGCATCGCACCCCATGCATTTGCACGGACACAACATGCAAATCCTCCACGAAGGTGACGGAGACTGGGATGGTGTCACCATTACCCGACAATCGAATCCTCAACGACGAGACGTGCAACTTGTGCGAGCAAATGGTCACTTGGTGTGGCAAATCACCACGGACAACCCGGGCGTCTGGCCTTTCCATTGCCACATCGCGTGGCATGTTAGCGGAGGCTTATATGCCAATATCTTGGAGCGACCAGACGATATCAAGAATGATGCCATTGCCACTTCCGTGGAGCAAACGTGCACGCAATGGGATGCATATTCCAGTACCGCTGTTGTGGATGAGATCGATTCGGGACTTTAATTTTTTTTGCAAATGGGGCCTGGTGTTTGGAGAACTTTTATCATATCCTTGCATAGTTGCCTTGGAATGAATGTTTGGTCGGAAATGACACTTGATTATTATTATTTTTTGTTTTCTGAAGCGAGATTTTTTGGGGTAAAGGGATTAGATGGAAACGAAAGGCATCTATATCAGTGATTGGGGTTAAGTATATTTCTAATGATTCATGAACATATTTTTTATAGAATTTATACTTTTCAAAAGTTATCCTTATTCTTTCTCTTGCAATATTGGGAATCATTGTGCATGATGTGACTGCAAAGAAATCCTGGTGATATGATACCTATTACGACCACTGCGAGATATTGGTCGGGAGATGGTGGTTTCGTTGCATGTTAATATGATCCTCAGCATGGTCTTTTAATGAATCTTAAGAATAATCATTAAAGCCCAACGAAACATAACATGCAATTAATAGCCATCAAGAGATTTCCCATCCCATCGTATCATATCGAAGACAAAGTAAAGTCCCAACACAAAATTCAAACGCGAAAGATCGATCCCGAGAAACATCCGACTCCCTGAACACCAACACAATATTGAACTTCATCCGACCCATCGCCACCAACAAGTATTTTCTCGCAACCCATCTCAACACGATAATAGAGTTTCTTCTCGCCACCCGACCCGCCACCGCACCCATCCCATTTCCAAAATAAGATTAACATTAACATTAACCCCAACCCACTAACGTCAAGCTCTATCTCTATCTCTATCTTCCCTCTCACCTTCGAAAAGCCAGATAAATACTAGGTAGGTAAAGGTGAGCTATCCCAGCCACACCGCTCCAAACCTTATTTAAACATTACCACCCTCCCTCCTGACACTATCCCAAAAAATCAAAGTGCAGACACAAAACTTAACTCGGTTTATTAACCTACTAGCGTACTAGCGTATCGATCTGCTATGTGTATGCAGCTGGTACCCCTGTAAGAAGGTTAAGATTTAGGTAAGGTGAGACTAACCCCGGGTACCTACCTGTGGCATGGGCGTGGCGAGCGTGGCTGGTAACGTAACCTTATCGTATTCGTGTTAGGGGTATGGGATGGGATTGTGTGTGTGATATGGGATTTTATATGTCGTATTGTGATTGTATTGCATGAATGTATATCTGATATGATGAAATGGACCATATTTTGAGGTGTGGCGAATTTGGAGGTAGGGGCTGGGCGTCCCATTCGATTTTCTTTTAAAAAAATTGTTCTAAGGAGATGAATGCTTGAATCGGTTGGGTGTATTTGGTGTGTGGCGATCCGATATTCAAATGGTGAGGTTGTGAATATATTTTGATAATATGGAGGGCGAAATTGGAAGGCTGAGATAGAGATGTGTGAGGAACCCTCCAGTGGTGTTGGAGATATTAACATGTAATATCGTTTAGTTTGCGATGTATTGCATGGCATGGTTACGAAATAATGTTTCTTGACACTGTGGTTTATTGAATGTTGATTACTGGAGAAGGAGAAATGGTTCTATTAATTAGATGAGAAGGCATGGGTTACCTATATTTGCAAACACCCACCTGAACACCATAATGAAAACGGATACAAAGCTATTATAGAGAATCAACATGGAGCCATGATTGCTGAAGCTATCGGATATCCACGGATGATCCGGTTGAGTCTTAATAGAAGATCTAATATCAAGAACGATAATGTTTCTATTGCAGACCCCCAATATCTACACTACATGTCCCAACCCGTCAGACGAGTACTCGAGATTTGCTATATTTTGATGACACAAGTCTGAGGGGTCCCACCCACTTTCCATTCCTAATTGTTTTCTTGTGGGTATGGTTGAATATTTTACCGATCGCCTGAAGTGGGTGCTAACTACATACAAAGGCTGCGTGATGTTAGCAAACAGTACAAGAATAAAGAGATAGTTTCGTGGTATATGTTAGTACCTACTTGAATCTCTTGAGGTGCTAGATATAGACATTGAAAAGGTAGATATATATCAGTCCTCCGTGCCATCAAGCAATCATTTTCGAGTAGTAGAAGCCGTTGACTTTCATATATGTCAAAATGCGCACGCAGCGAGAACAACACTTGGAACGAGAATTGTACTTGACGAACTAGGATATGACACAATCGCAGCTGTACCAGGTAAGTAAAAGCGCATCAATCGTACATTCCGGGGAGGAGGAAGATACGATGTACCATGTAGTCATCGTCTTCTTCATATCTTTTTTTTAGATCTTAAACTATATCCTGGGTGTAATTTTTAAGCATAAATCAATCCAGCTATGTGTTGTTGGGCTACACCTATGAATAATGACACTGCTGCTTCACCATCATGATGAGTATTCTTGCTCTGAAACTGTCAAACCGAGATTTTCCAATCCAACGGCATTCATTAACGTCCTAGCTTTGGGGACCCAGTTTCCCAAGATGTGCTTGTCATCGGATATTTGTACTGCCAAGATCGTCATGTCAACAATGAGGAAGAACGGCATCAACGGCACCAGTGATTTGTAAAGACAACGAGGCGCAGTTGTCCCCTTTTCAATGACAAAAAAAGGTATGTCGATCTCTGTTGAAGAAATAGCCCAGTCGCAGGTTTGTTTCAGAATACCTAAAACGCTTCTCCACACTTTTGATTCGTCCATTTCCTGCGAGGAGAGGCAAATTTGGACACAAGCTTAATTTTTTTTTGCACAGACATGTGGGTGAAGATCACTAGATCGTTTCGCAACACAACAAAGATGGACAATTTTCCGAATTTGAGGCTCCTTTCCTCACTCTAACCTTGTCTCAGTACTTGATAGCTTCCATAAAGTCTCGGCTGTTAGAGACTGCGTTGGCCGGATATAGATTTTCTGACGGCAAAGCAACTCCCGCATGAAGTCTGACATCAGATATTCTGAAATCCGGTTCCGAAGACTCCAGTTATGCTTGAACAGATGAAAATTCAGCTTGGAAGACTAAGACAAAAGCTTGAGAGTCTGATGCGAATTTTCGGATGTTGACGCTAGGACTTCCAGAACTGGTCATCTTCCATTTCAAAGAATGCATATATAATACACAATCCCAATTGTTTTTATAGTTTGCCATTAAATGCTGTCCTTCCAGAAACTAATAAACTATCACTTACCAACAAAACAATCATCATGCATTTTCCTCAATTCTCCGCAATTGCCTTGATGGCAGCTAGTCTTGTAGCAGGTGGTAAGTTGTGTGGATCTCATTTACATGCTTCAGCAGCTAACATACCCCAAGTTCCAACACAAGCACCCAGTGCTGCAGATGCAAAGACTCATACCGTTGTAGTCGGTTCCAGCAACACTTCTCTTCTACTATTCACCCCACAAGAAATCACCGCAAAGCCTGGCGACACGGTGGAATTTCAATTCCACGAAAGAAACCACACCGTCACACAATCCGCATTCGATTCACCGTGTCAGCCAATGGCCAATGCAATTCACAGTGGCTTCGTTCCCACGGCGGCCAATCAAAGCATGATCACGACTTTCACTATGACTGTCAATAGTACAGCTCCCATGTTCATGTATTGTGCGCAAGGAAAGCATTGTCAAGCAGGAATGGTATTGACAATCAATGCATCGTAAGGGATTCTTATCCACGCGAATTGGTCTATGTAGACTTTGACTGATTGATTAATTAGGAATGGAACCCAAAATTTCGGGACGTACAAAGCGGCAGCAGCCAAAGCAACTAGTAATGTCCCAGCAGCGGCAGTGGGCGGCGGTGTCTTAGGACAAATTGCGGCCGATAAAGCTACCACAGTTCCACTGCGACGGATTTGAGGGAGAAAAGAGCCTGAGGCGGGTTCCTTGTCTGAATGCGTAATGTTAATTGTTTATTCGGGGTTGAGATGGGCCTCCCCATCGATGGTTCTGGTAACCACGTGTCACATTTTGTTTACAATACCCATTGTTTGTTTCGTCTTGTTTTCATTTATGTCTCTTTGTTGTGTGCTGTCCCGTTGATCATGTCTGGAAGTATATAAAGGCTTGTGGTTCCAGGAGTGGATATGTATATCAGTTCGCAGCTCACGCTTGAGTCTGTAACAAACATCCTCGGAGGTATCGACACTCTCCAGAGTTGTGAAGCTGAGAAAGCTACAGGAGGCTACGTAACAGAGTTTTCCAATCAATGTACGGTACATTCATGCAATAAATCTTGTATAGGGGTTTGCAGTTTCAAACTGAAATCTGCACTGATCGGAAAAGAGGTCGCTGCTCTGATTAGTCATTGCTCAATGCCAAGACTCCTATTCCCTTCCGAAATGACCTTTGATATGTGAAGAATTTCAAGATCAGAATCTTTTTCGGGCCTTTTTGTCCATCTACTGTATTGCTGTGAGGCAGCGTTGGATACCCAATTCATTACCGTAATTTTCGTTTTGCAGAAAACATTCATCTACATACCTCATCAAGATTTCCTCTTCTGCCCTTCAACATACGCATGAGAAGATGGGATCTTACGCCCTTCCATAACCATTGAAGACTATTCAATATTGAAAAAAGACTCGCTTGAAACTCATGACAAAGGGCGCGTTGATCCGAAGAATAAAGACTAACTTACTAGAATTTAAGCTCCCTCGCGCACAAGCTATACTTGAGGTTTCTAGAAAGGCCACACCGTTATCCAAAAAGAAAGTGAATTTGAATATGCTTTGAGGAAACTATGTGAATGATTGAGGAATAATCAAAATATACTATCGAAACGAAAGGGTGAAACCACGACTACCAATGAAATGTTCATCCACTCGGGCCACTCCGTCCCATCCCATCACCAAAACCCAAAGCCAACGTAGTGATTAAAAAGCATCTTGATATATACAATAAACCCAAGAATTAATCCAAACTCCCTAGAGATCTATTCAGATCTCTCTCCTAAACCTGCTCGTTCCTGCAGCCGTTTCCGAAGCTGGACTGGGCACTCTCTCCCCATTTTCATCCCATCCACTCGGTTCACTTCCCAACACAAATTCCATGCTTCCTCCCTCCTCAAAAATATCACTCCAAACCACCCAATTCTTATCCCACTCGACACCATTCACCTTCAAACTCTGCACATAGTAATTGGAATCCCCATTTCCGTCACCGCCTGTGCTGGTAATAGTAAGTGTTTTGCGATTGCTAGCTGAAGATCCGTGGGGGCTTAAATCTATAGTTATGGATTCGAACCAGGGAGATGTGATTAGGAAATTGGGGGTCGCGGTGATGGGATAAAGACCAAGCATATTCCATATGAGCCATGTTTGCATGGCTCCTGCGTCCGAATTGCCGGGAAGACCAGTCGGAGAGAGGTTGTAGGTTTTGGCTACTTTTCGAGATTGGTAGATCGAACGAGATTGGTTGTTGATGAAGTTGTAGAGGTAGGGGACATTGAATGTACTGAATTTTGTTAGTTGATCACTTCGGTGTTTTTGTTTCGATTCATATAGAACAAGAGATACATACACTTCATTTGTGCCGTCAAAGATGATACCTCCTGGGTTGTTAGGATTCGCACCAACAGTAAACATCGTTTCCAGTCTCTTGTAAAATGTGGCGTCTCCTCCCATATATTCAATAATAGTATTCATATCATGAACATCACCGAAGGAATAATGCCATGAGCTACCTTCATAAAATGGATCACCCCAGTATCCAATATTAGTCAACGGATCCACAGCAACAAAAGGCGTTGAAGAACCTGCTGCTGTGCGAGGAACCACAAACCCTGAGTATCCGATAGAAGTTAAATTGGAATTCCAGTGATTTCTCCAGTTTCGTGAGCGAGCTAGATATTTGGCTGCATCTTCTGTATTTCCCAATCCCTTGGCTACCTGATAAAGCGAGAAATCATTGTATGCGTAATCTACAGCTCGAGAACCGGCGCGACTATATGTCGGAGTGATATAGCCATATTGTTTCCAATCAGGTAGAGCACCTCTTCCTTCCTTTGTTGATGAGTCCGGGGCCATTGGGTCAGGTGGAACGGTATTGTTAGGTTGGACTTCAGCATCTTTCACCATGGCTGCGTAGCCATCATCCCAATTGATTTGACCTTTTACACCTTTTACATAAGCATCGGCGAGGACATTATCAGCATTGGAACCACCTTGAGTTCGACCATTATAATTTGAAGATCGAGCATCTGGCATATAACCATCAAAACGCCAAACATCAATCAAGGAGCGTATGTATTCTTCATGGACAGTGGGTTGGAGGACGTGAAGTAAAGCTGTACCACAACGGAATAAATCCCAAAGAGTGAATATGTCTTGATAATATGGTTCGGTGGAAGTCCATCCTGGATTTTCTCCTGTTTGATTTGTTGGAAGAAGACTCATGAAATACATAGACGTATATAGCAATCCAAGATTGGTCGCATTGGTAGAAGTAGTTGCGATTCTTGATAGAACTTCATCGTTCCAGACAGATTTAGTGTCGGAAACGACATTTGAAAATGTGGCATCATCTGGAATCTCATCGTTGACATTCTGGCACGCCTTCTCCTTAGAAATCCAAGAAATCCCAACTCTTGATGCAACAGCAGTTGTGTTGAATGTATAGAGCCCGCCAACGGCAGTGTTCAAGTCAGCCGAAGTGGCTGATTTACTTGGCTGAACGACACTACCAGTACCAGAATTGGCGTAAACATTTGATGCAGAAGGTGTTACGTTAAAATAGCCACCTTAATAAATTTATTAGATCGGAAATCGTACCATAAAAATAAGACTTACATGAATATATCGTCCAATCAGGAGATCTATTCCATCCATTGTTGTATACACCAGATGCCTCATAATGGCCATCTGAAAATATCTGAAAGCTTCCTCCATCATATGCTTGACTCAAGCCTTGGCCTCTGAAAGATGGCACGACGTGGCTGACATCAATCAGAATATTGTTCCCGGTGCTTGTGGGAGGAAACGTGTATTGGTAGAGTCCAGCGTGTGATGTAGCAGCAAGCTCGACAACAACATTATCACTTGTCTGAGCCCGATAGTAACCCACAGAGCCTTGATCAGGAACTGCTCTGCCGACAGTTATACTTGATAAAGGGTTGGCGATTGTTCCCACCAAAGGTAGTTGGGCGACCGTCCCATATTTAGGTGCACCTCCAGTACCTTGCTCATGCATCATACTAAAGCCTGAGAAGTTTCCATTAGGAAGATAGCCAGAATATGAGTCAGTACCCTGAATTAGAAGATCGGGACCAAGTTTGACCATTCCCCAAGGCCGAGCAACACCAGGGAAATCATTGCCTCCATTTTGTGTTCCAGTACTTAAGTAGTTAGAGACTGTCTGCATCTAAAGAGCCCTGTCTACTTACAACACATTCACATATTGTGCAAAATCGGTTTGGGCTTGGACAATGTCCAATATGAGAAAGGAAAAGATCAAAACTAAATTCATAATTCGGTGACGCGCTATGAATAGCTTGAAGAGATGAAGGAGAAACTTTGTGGTCACCTTGAGAGGTCTTATAAGAACTTGACAACCCTAGCATTCGTTGTTTCGAGGATGGGATGTTGTGGAGGTTGTCTAATAAAGGCCATTTGAAAGTCTATCTTTGATGATGGGCGCATGGATAAACTGGAGATATAAGACTGCATACTCTCTTTGGGGAAAATATCGCAATTGATGATGCAGTACGACCTAAGACTTCTATAGGAGATGAAACTTGTGAATGGTAAAAGATAGGAAGGTGATTGGAAGTGATGTTACTCTACCATTGTGCAACTAGTATATGCTGCAGAAGCAACATGCCAATTTTCTCCTATATTTGGCCTAAACTTAAATTCGAAGCTATCGAACGAGGGTGTTTTAGGGTGCTGATCATGTACTCTATCCAATGACATTGTCACTTGATAGTCCATAGTATGGTAAATCATTTTAGATGGTCTTAGTCTTAAGAACATCAACAGTACTCAAGTAGTAAATGTGAACCTCAATATCTACTACTGAGCTACACGTGCGAAAGACGCGAGACCTCATTGTAGTATTGACGATTGTTCTCCTGATCCTTGGTTCCAGTATACTAGGATAATTGTGGGGTTCATCGGATAACGTCTCTTTCCGATGTAACACTATCCAACCACGGCAACGAAAAGGACCTCATGGTGATCTTGAAAAGTCTACAGGCGAAATAATGTCTATGCAACACTGCAGACATGCATCAAATATTTGATAGAATTCGGTCCCGAGTGGGGTATCGACTTTAATTCTCAATTTTCAAGTCGTAAGATAAAGAAAATGAGATAGCAAGATGAAAATAAGTTTATCGCTTCAAGTTGAGTTTTTCTCGAGAGTTTTGGCTCGAAGCCAACGTTGAGGCGAATCTAGCGCTGTAAGACTACCGACTTATTTAAGCGTTTAAACTTTTACAGAGCCACAAGTACCGAGGCCGATATGGATCATTTTGTCAATACACTAAAAATAGATTTCTGCCTGACCTAAAAGCATATTTAGTATTTCGTAATGTGATTTTAATAAAAACTCATCGATATAAACCTTTTAAACTCAATATATATTCGAATTTTCTTGAAAAAGCAACATTTTAAGCTGTAAGGCTATACTCTCAATTGAGCGGATTTTATTGATTTTATTATTAAGGTTCTAGCTCTAATGGTTCTTACAGAATCAATTATTGAAGTTGAAGCAATTAAGAAAAGATAATTCCTTATTTTATTGATTAAGCGAATACGATTTTATTTCATCTGTAACCGCAGGCAGGACACAATCACTTATCCGGGTGAATCCCGGGGACACCAAGGCCCGGAACCTTAGTATATATCAGGAAGTTAGTG